CGCTTCTTCGACTCGAAGGGGCCCGGCGGGAGGTGCACGCCCCGGCCCGACGAGGAGGAGGATGAGGCCGAGGATCCAGCGGCAGAGGAGGGTGCCCGCGGAAAGACCCTGCTCGAGATCGAGCCCGCGAATATCGTCCAGTACGCGCATTTTGGGTACGTCTACTGCATGCAGGTCCTCCCTGCCGCGCAGATCGGGCTGGGCGCCGGGTCGCTCCTGCTCACGGGCGGTGGCGACGGGGATGTTAAGTTGTGGGCGATTGATCCGATCACTGGTGGGATCTCGGAGCTGCGCACGCTCGCTGGTGGCGACTCGGGCGTGCTGAGTATGGTTGTGAAGGATACGCTGCTCTACACGGGTCTTACGGACGGCGAAATACATATTTGGGATCTGGACACCTGCCAGAAGGTCAGGAGTGTGCAGGCGCACTGCGACGACGTGCTTACGCTGGCGGTGAAGGGGGAGTGTATCTTCTCCGGCAGCGCGAGCGGGTTCACGCGGAAGTGGAATATGAGATTTGAGTGTGTGAGTAGGTGGCGGGCGCACGAGGGGCTGGTGCTGGCCAGTGCGGTGACCGAGAAGAACGGGAGGCTGCTGTACATCACCGGTGGAAATGACGATTGTGTCGGCGTGTGGGACGTCGAGCCGTTTCCGGCGAAGGAGGGGGGCAAGGAGGAGCGCGGCGAGGGTGAGGGCGAGTTGCTCAGTTCGCTGGCGAAGCTGGTGGCGCTCCGGACGGTGAGCTCGGATCCTAGCTGCGCTGAGGAGTGTCGGAGGGGTGCGACGTTTCTGAAGAGTCTGTGTAAACGACTTGGAGCTGCCGCGTCGCTGCTGCCGACGGAGGACGGTCGCAATCCGGTGGTGTTTGCAAGGTTTGAGGGTGCGAACAGGAAGGCGGAGAAGGGGAAGACCCTGCTGTTCTACGGACATTACGATGTTATTCCGGCCAGCGCCGAGGGCTCGGGTTGGAAAACGGATCCCTTCACGCTCACAGGCGTCGATGGCTACCTCTACGGCCGTGGAGTGAGCGACAACAAGGGACCGTGTCTGGCTGCGCTGTTTGCCGCCGGGGAACTGCTGCAGTCGGGGAAATTGGAGAGTGACATCGTCTTCCTGATCGAGGGCGAGGAGGAGTCGGGATCGAGAGGATTCAAAGATACTGTCAGGAAACACAAAGACCTGATCGGCAATGTCGACTGGATCGTGTTCGCCAACTCGTACTGGCTCGACGATGATACACCCTGCCTCACCTATGGCCTTAGAGGAGTCATTCACGCCACGATTACCATCCAGTCCGAAAAGCCGGACCTGCACTCCGGCGTCGACGGCAGCTCGCTCAACCGCGAGCCAACCATCGAGCTGATCACCCTCCTCAGCCACCTCACCTCCCCCACTGGCGAGATCCTCCTCCCCGACTTCAACGCCCCCATCCGGCCTCTATCCCCCGCCGAGGAGCGAATGTACCTGCCCATCTCGGCCTCGCTCCACGCCAACCCGACATCGCCCTTCCACGGCCTGCCCCACCAAGAAATCACCGACCACCTGATGTCGAAATGGCGGTACCCCTCGCTGACCATCCACCGTGTCGACGTGTCCGGCCCCAGCAACAACAGCACGCTGATCCCACGGTCCGCGTCCGCGACTATCTCCCTGCGCATCGTCCCGGATCAATCCGTCTCGGGCGTGACCTCCTCTCTCCGCTCATACCTCACGTCCTCCTACCCAGGCAGCAACAACCTCTCAATCGACATATCGCACAGCGCCGAAGCGTGGCTGGGCGACTTCACCAACTCGGCGTTCTGCTCACTGCAGCGCGCAATAACGCACGTGTGGGGCGCACAGCCACTGTTTATCCGCGAGGGTGGATCGATCCCCGCCGCGAGATTCCTCGAAGAGGAGTTTGGAGCGCCGGCTGCGCATCTGCCGTGTGGTCAGGCGTCCGATATGGCGCATCTGGATAATGAGAGGCTTAGGGTTAGGAATTTGTTTGGTGCTAGGGAAGTGCTGGGCAGGGTTTTTGAGGAGTTGACGGCTGGGACGGTGGCGGAGAAGGGGGATGAGATGACGGTGAATGGGGTGGATGTGAATGGAGCAGATGAGTGATAGTGATGGAGACTGTAGGTGATGGGTTTTGCATGATCAATGGGACTAATGTATGGGTATGAGGGATTTGGGAGTCGGGAGTTGGGAACTGTTTTGATTTTGCTGGCTTTGAATATGTATGTAGTTTCTTTTACGTATATGTGGCGATGGAAATGGTGATATATCGGCTAGAATCTAGATCTCCTTTTCCTAATAGAGAGCATGAATACACGGCGTACTCCGAACTGAACGGAACGGTGACCACTTGACACGATATCTCAGTCGTGCGGCGTTGTCCTTCACCTCCTCTGCCACTAACGCCACACTTGTTTGGAATACAAAACGCCAGTCGGTGGAGCAAGCAAACTGCAAGAACACTCCTCTATTGTTGCGAATATCACCCGGCAAACATGTAGATACTATCGCTAAGTACTCTTTCATTCCCGCCGTCCAAAGTGTATGTACCTATTCCCCATGATCATCACATCATCACATCATCAAACTATTTCAATCTTAGTTATCTCCCTCCAAAACGTACGCACCCAGGTATAAAAGCAACGCAAACTCCCCAAAACGCCATTCCCATTCCTCCCGACCCATTCCAAGTAGGTCTTTACCACATCCGACTCCCCTTCTTTGAAAGTTTTCCCTTGCCCTTATTCTTCTGTTTCTCCTTCTCCAGCTCCTTCAGCCTTTCCTTTTCCCGCTCCTTTTCCCGCTCCCTCTCTTCACCCTCTCCTTCTCCCGTTCCTTCTCCCGTTCCCGCTCCTTCACTCTCTCCTTTCTCTTTCCTTTTCCCGATCCTTCTCCCGCTCCTTCTCCCTTTCCCTCTCCTTCTCCCTCCCTTCTCCCGCTCCTTCTCCCTCGCCGCCTCCCCACCCCCAAAATTCAACCCAAAGAAACTTTTCCTTCGGCTCTTATCATCGAGCCGCTTCCCACTACTGGGGACGACTCCGGCATTGATGAGTCCCGGCTGTGACTGCGGCGGGGCGGAATGCCAGCCGCCCGCGCCGCCGACAATCGGCGGCCTGCTGTTGTTGATGTTGCCACTGCTGTTTCTATGCGACGGATAATACTTTAGCGCCTGCGGTTTCGGGTTCGGAACACGGTTCGGATTTGGAATTGGAAGTGGAGGGGGAATATACTGCTGTTTGTGGTGCTGCTGCAGATTATGCTGCTGTAGATTCTGCTGCTGCAGCGGCCTTCGGACTCATCGGCGCCTGCCCCGGCTGGGTATGCGGTCTTTGCACCTGCTGTTGCTGCTGCCCCTGCTGCTGCCGCGCCCTCGCCTCCGCCAACGCCTCCTGCTCATACAGCCGCTTGAGGCGCTCGGTCTCGGCGTCGATAGCGGCCTGGCGGTGCGCAGCCGCGCGCTCCTCGTCCGCAAGCATCCGCCGGATCTCGGCTTGCTCGTCGGCGATCCGCTGTCGCGCTGTGAGGTCCTCGAGCGTTGGCACGATCTTTTCTTCCACGGGCGCTTGTGACGAGGCGGGTTGCGCCCGCAAGGGCCGCGCGGTCGTGTGTGGTCTTGCTGTTGGGTGGTGCCGCGCGGCGGGCCGTTGGGTTAGTGCCGGTGAGGTGGGGGGTTGCCGTGCAGCGGGTCGTTGCCTTGGGGCGGGCGTGGGCATCTCGGCGGGCTGGGGCTTGGGAGCGGGCTGCTGCATGGGCGCCGACTGTTGTGTTGGGCTGGTGGTGGGTGAAACGGGAGCGGCCTTGGGTTTGTCGGGCGGGTATACCTGGCTGTTGAAGCGTTCGGCGAACGTGCCAGCGGAGGAGGCGGCCGGGGGTTCGTACGCTGGCGGGGGCGGGGCGGGTCCGCCCATTCCCGTGCCTACGCGTTGTGTAGTGTTGAATATAGCGCTCGAGCCGCTGAACCACACGTCGGCCACGACGCGGGAGCTCAGCAGCAGGACCATCTCCAGCCCCTTGAGATCCTGCATCTCCACGCGCCGGAAATTGCTCTCGTACACCACCAGCTCGCCGCCCTTGCCGTTCTTGTCGCCGACACCGCTGTACATCGCTAGCACCGTGTCCGGCTCGTCCCCGCCGGAGACCAGAGAGCACTTCAGCTGGCTGCGCGTAAGCATGTTGATCCCCTCCTTGCGCCACCGGAACGTGAGTGTCTCCGACACCGGCGGGCGGTACGAGGCGTCCAGCGCCGACTGCGTCGGTGGCAGGAACGAGGACTTGGGCAGTGTGAATTCCCAGAAGTTGTTGCGCGTCAGGGCGGTGTGTTTCTGGGTGATCGTCACGGTGGAGTCCGGGGAGTAGAGCTGGAGAGTGAACGAGGAGGGGCGCTGGAGTTCATTGGGGTTGACGGTGCTCGGGAGAAGCGGGAGAGACAGCGAGCCGTAGGTTATGTCCGGGAACGGGGCGTCGGTCAGCGAGATGCTGTAGGAATTCGCTGGTTGCAGGAAGCGGGTCAGGGTGTAGAGGTGCTGCGGGACGGCGCCAGAGATGGTGAAGTGGACGGTGGTAATTGTGGGCTGGTTCGTCGCGTCAGGGATGGCGAACTGGTAGGCTTGGAGATCGTTAGCCAGAGCACACTATGAGAAGCGGGAGCGCACTCACTCGGGAAGTTCTCGTCGAGCGGCATGGCTGCTATTCGTTCTGCAAATTCTCGTCGTGCGTTTGGAGTATCGCCGTCGGTCGTTGTATCTCTGGGGCACTCGGTGCACTTTCCACCGGTACGTTGGATTCAGGCGTCTTAAGCGGTTGTCCAGGCAGGTGTCGGCGGTATCGACCTCCGATGATTAGTTATGTAGAGTAGTGGCTCAGTTCCTGGTCCGCCTCCACCATGCGCCAGAGGCTAGTTAAGGCAGGGATGATAGTGCGCTTCTATTTCTGGGGATGGCGATCGTTCAGAGTCCGGTTGCGTGGGAACTTGGAGTCTTGGAAGTCAGAAGTTCAAGTTCAAGTTGTCGCATCTCCAGAAAGCTGAAAAGACTCGCTAGGGGAGAGGGGAGGGTAAGACAGAATGGAGGGCGTGAAGGTACAAATAGAGTGGAGAAAGAGAGGGTACACGTCCAAGATATTATATGTATTTGATGTTGCATCCGCCATGAGGCTGTGCAGGGCTGCTCCTCCTCCTCCTCCAGCATCTAAGGCACACTCCTAGAATTTTGTATCGCCGCCCCGCAGCCACCCCCACTCGCCAGCGAACGCGTGTTTGCCGCGCACACTTAGCTTCTCACTCCAGCACATCGGGATACGGAGGAGTATCGCAGGCCGGCCAACACGCAAACGGGCAGTAGATACCGTAATACGTCTCGGTACACGGCCTTCCCTCGAAACTTGGTGCATAGCAAGTAAACAGGTTATTCCCCCTGCTCAGTGCTAGTTAACCCCACATCTGCCTGACATTGAGGTTAACCCTCTTCCCTCTCATCCATCCCTTCCAGCTGTCACTCCCGCCATCCCATTGCTCCAGCCCCACGGGACATGTCCCCGCCAGAATCTTCGGAACACTATGCCACGCCCACCGACTGCTCCCCGCCATCACCACCGCATCCCCCGAGTTCAGCCTTACAGCCAACACCTCACCCTCCTCTTCCCCATCGCAGCCGATAACGAATATCCCCGCGCACCCGATGCTAACGCTCACCAGCCCCGCGCCCGACGCCTCGGAGATGTCCCTGTGCGGTGCTAAAGTGTCCGAGGGGGAATAAAGGTTTACTATCGCCGCCTGCGGGACTATTTCAGGGAAGCACCCGGATACCAGCCCGGCCACGTCTGCGGGGAACTCCGGGGGCGTGTCGGTGGGGTACTGCTTCAGCGTCCAGTCGTATTGCCCGCCAAGGGTCACCCAGCGGAGCTTTTTGGAGAGGGCTTGGGCAAGTGTTATCGGCTTGTGGATGGAGGTGAGGGGGGAGAGGACGGTGGTGGATGGGAGCGTGAAGAAGTTGCACGGTGTGGGCAGCGTGTAGTGCGCGTGGAGGTTGGTCTTGTGCGTGGAAGTATCGCTGAGGGAGGTGGTGAGGAGGGCTGTCAGGAGGGTGGACTGGATGGAGAGCGGGAGGAGGGAAGGGATTAGTTGGAGGCCTGGAGATGTCAGTAACAAACCAATACTTTGATGTAATGAACGAACCAGGCACAGAGCTATGCTCCCAAATCTCGACATCCCCTTCCTCCTGGATTCCGTCCTGTTGTTCTTCTCCCTGCACTCCCTCTTCCTCTCCCGCCCCAGCCGCACGCGTAAACTGTGCAAAAGCCTCCCGCACCTGCTGCCTTGATATCGTGCCGTGTAGCTTCAGCCGCTTCCGGTGGTACTCGGGAATCCCCCCGCCACCGGAAAAATCGAGGATCGGGATTTCATCGTTGCTCAGTGACTTCTGGAGTGTTTTGTGGATCACGCGGATATGCGGCGGTGGGGAGTGGTGGGCATGATCGATTGGCGGCGGTGGTGGTGCCGGTGCCGGAGGTGGGACGGCAGTGGCCATGGTTTGTGGATTGGAGGTCGAGAGAGGGAAGGGATGGTTTGCGAAAGCTTGGCGGGCTACATGGAATCAATTGCTTTCCATGGCGACTCAATCAGTAGTGAAGTCCATCGGTTTACACTCATACGGGCCCGTCAAATTGTGTGGGCACTGGGTACTTGGGTACAAGTCTTCGGAAGTCTCGAAGGATGGGATTGTATGATACCGGTCTGTCCAGAGTATAGTACTACGGTTATTACATGTCTCGGCATCGGTCTTCTGCGGTTATCGGTTCGCGAGTCAAAGGAAGCTTTTGGCCGTGGGCTCCAAGAATGGCCCGATGTCGATGCGGAGGATCCTCACGTCTTTGTGCGGCTGAAACGCGGGGAGATCACGTACTCATGCACATCGTAGCGTCAGTGGTCTCGGCGGGCATGGAAGTAACGTAGAGTACATGCTACATATAACTCGATGTAAAGCTGCTCGTCGTTCTTCCCGAGCACGTACTCTACGGCGGCCAACACAGCTCAACTCAACCCGCCCGCCCCGCCAATCCCCGCCGTCGATACCCGCTCCGCCCGCTCCGCCTCGTCTCCCACTCCTCGCAGTCAATCGTCCTCCCTCACACGCGCCCACCGCACTGCTTTACTTCACAGTGACAGACACCGGAGACGGACAGGCATCAGACAGGAACAAAGGAAACGAACTCATGCTGGCCTAGCTGACTTAACCCCTTCCCGTTCCTGCTTGCTACAACATCACACGTCCATCGGAATCAGAAAAAAAGAACCCCAGAACCAGAAACCCTAACCAAGCAAAAATCAAAACGAGCCGCCTCCGACCCCCCCGACGCAATATTAGAGTAGAACTCGCGTCTTCCTCGCCATCCCCACAACACGACACGACACGACACGGCTCCCGCCACAAACTTGCTTCCCTAGCTGAAGCTTCGCATCGCCACTCCTACTCAGCTACACGACACCCTCCCCCTACAACCTTCCATAACCGACAAACACATCCTCACACACAGCTCAACCATGGACGGCTACCAGAGGATTGAGAAGATCGGTGAAGGTCTGTTGCCTTCCCCCCGTTCCCATCGCCACCCCCCATCATGCTACGTCCCCTTAGCTAACCATCCTATCCCCATCCTAGGCACGTACGGAGTTGTGTACAAAGCCAAGGACCTGAACAACCACAATAGAATAGTGGCGATGAAGAAGATCCGTCTGGAAGCGGAAGACGAGGGAGTCCCCTCCACCGCGATCCGCGAGATCTCGCTACTCAAGGAGATGAACGACCCCAACATCGTCAAACTACTCAACATCATCGCCGAGGGCCACAAGGTCTACCTGGTCTTCGAGTTCTTGGATCTGGATCTCAAGAAGTACATGGAGGCCATACCGGCGGGGATGGGACTCGGCGAGGACATGGTCAAGCGCTTCATGAACCAGCTGGTCAGCGGTGTCAAGTACTGCCATTCGCATCGCATCCTGCACAGAGATCTCAAGCCCCAGAATCTGCTCATCGACAAGGAGGGGAATCTGAAGTTGGCGGATTTCGGTCTGGCGAGGGCGTTTGGTGTGCCGTTGAGGACCTACACTCACGAGGTGAGTTGTGTGAATGGCCCTGTGTTTGTTTTTGTGTGCTGACGTGGCGGGAATGGATAGGTCGTGACCTTGTGGTACCGTTCCCCCGAGATCCTGCTGGGCGGAAAGCAGTACAGCACCGGTGTCGACATGTGGAGTGTCGGCTGCATCTTTGCCGAGATGTGCACGCGCAAGGCCCTGTTCCCCGGCGACTCGGAGATTGACGAGATCTTCAAGATCTTCCGGTAGTCAATACCGTCCTGGTTCACTCGCAGCAAACGCAGACAGCTGACAGACAGACACGACTAGACTACTCGGCACCCCCGACGAGACGACGTGGCCCGGCGTGACCTCCTTCCCCGACTACAAGAGCAGCTTTCCACGGTGGGACCGAGTAGACATCGAGCGGATGGTACCGAACCTTGAGCCCGCGGGTCTTGACCTTCTCGACGTTTGTCCTTCCATCCCCCGGTACGCACTCACAACCCATTAACAACTTCAACCAGGCCATGCTCGTCTACGACCCTGCCGGCCGCATATCCGCCAAGCAAGCCCTCCTCCACGACTACTTCATGACCGACGAAGGCGAGATGATGACGATCGAGGCCAAGCCATCGACTAAGCACCGATAGAAAATCCCACCTTGACGATGATGTGGGGGATGTGAAGAAAGTTGCGTGCTCTAATACTTGGCGGCTGCCGAGAAGACATAGCTTAGCGGAGATGATGGGGACATTGGGGGTTATTCTTTGCACATAATCCATGAAACGACGATGCTGGGAATGATGACGGGGAATAATGATACTACGTGAGTGCTTGTGAGGGCCTTGAGTATAACGTGATTTACTGGTGAATCGTGAATCGTGAATCGTGATGTTGTCCGGTCTCCCTCTATGTACTAGTCTAGACTCTCTGCCGGACTGTCTTCGGTCTCTAGCCCAATGCTCGAACACCTATGGGGACCGCCGACCGTCCGCGGCCCGCCCAGTCACTCCGAGGAGGTCCTTCCTTCCCTTGAACGGACCGTACAACCCTGCAGTACCCACATCGCCGACCGGCGACCGCCAGGCTTCGGGACGGTTACGTGATATCAAAGTAAAATGTAGTCGGCCCGTCGAGCGCATCATTGCAGTAATACCACGTGTCCGAACCACAGTCACAGCCACTGCCACTGTGAGAGATCACTCGTATTATCGTAATTGTAGTCTTGTAGCAGCCGCGAGGTACGGTAGGTATGTCGTGCGTGCATGCTCGGAGGTGGGCCATGGTATCACTTCTGTAAGGCTGATTCTCTCAACCCATGCCTAGTAGGTGTTTGCATGCCCTTATACGGTACTAACTATCACTATTGTCCCACCGTTTACGAGTGGCTGCTACATACATAGGCTGTAACTGTGGGGGGTGATGGTACGCAAGAAGGCACCAGTTCCTGTGTCGTGTTCGTGTCTAGTGTCCGTGCTCGTGTTCGTGTGCGTGTTCGTACATACCGGTATTCTTCTGGGCTCCTTCCAAAAAACCGTATCAACATCAAGTTGCAGGAGAATATATGTAGGCTATGTATTTAGGCTATGGCAGCCATCGATTAGAATACTCTCATTCGCCAAGCTTAAACCCATTGAGTATGCTCCAGAAACCCAGTATTCCGCACATCGCCGCGCTGAGTTGCTCAGTTGTCGAGTGATCAGTGGTGGTGGGGTGAGGTGGTGGGATGTCGGCTGCGAATGGAACGTGGAAGCCTACATACAGCACCCAGTTCAGCAGAACGCACGAGGCACGGGATAGGTGATGAATCTACTATAGCCGGCTACTGTCTGTCTAGCAGGACCACACTACTGCACACTGCACTAGCAACACCGCAACCCACAAGATGCCATCCCACAAGATGCCACCCAAGATGCCACCTCATCCCACACCAGATCATGTCAATCCACGCTACGAGCATCAGGATGCTACTATGGTAGGTAGTAGGAAACACCTGTTCAATTCAGCTCGATTCGAAAAACGAATCCGATACCGATACCTACAGTAGGTAGCAAACAGCAGGATGCGATTGATGCCGCAGGTCTCCAGTAGGTAGTACTACCGCTCGGATATAAATCCAGCAGTCTCAGAGAATACAGGTTTGCTCTGGTATTTGTTTGTTTTTTTGCTATATTCTCAATTCTACAGTAACGAAAGATATTATATGCGGTTGTGTAGAGATAGGCTTACCAAACCGCTGGAATAACTACTGCAGTTCTTCTAAATGAAAATATTACGCACTGTCTACAATACTGGAGGGCTACCAGACAATTACCGTATTCGCACAACAAATTACCTGGTGTAGAGAAAACGTTGTCTTCCTAATCAGGTTTTCTAAGCTGTGGTAAAACCACGACAAGACAAGAGAACTACCCATATCAATCCATATCCACTCATATGAATCCGTATCCTCCCATATCCACCCATGAATACCATATCCGCCCATAAATACCATATCCACCCATAAATACCATATCCACCCACAAATACCATATCAATCCATATCCTGCCATATCCACCCACAATTACCATATCCGCCCATATCCTCCCATATCCTCCATAAATACCAAATCCGCCCATGAATACCATATCAATCCATATTCTCTTATATCCGCCCACAAATACCATATCAATCCATATCCTGCCATATCAACCCACAATTACCATATCCGCCCATATCCTCCCATATCCTCCCACCAATACCATATCCGCCCATATCAATCCGTCTCCTCTCTCATACTCTCCCCTACAAGATTATTTCAGTGGTAAAAGTGATCACTCGTTCAACTTCTAGCGAGGTTCACGAACTATGTGGCCAGCGGGCATCTTTCCAGCGAGTTTTATGTGATTTATTCGCTCAGATCTCGCCAGAAAGGCCCTCGAATATTTGAGCATTCCCGCCATAAGAGCAGATCCGGAACGAGTTTTTAGTGGGGCTAAAATCACTCTCATATCGTCGCTGAAGCATGCGTGACGACGCACTGAAGGCCCTAAAATGTCTCAAAAGGTAGCAAAGAGATGGTCTTGTTAGCTGCTACAAAGGGAGATATCAAGGAGACTATTCTCAATGCACTGTGCGAGGAGGGTCTGCAATATCTGTACTATAGACGTGTGCAAAAAGGTCATTACGTATGTCAAACATTTTCCATTCAAAGTACCAGTCCATCCAGTCGACCACAGTCCGTCCAGCTCTACCAGTTGTGCAGACTGCCCAGTCCAGTCCACGCCTCCTGCCGGACTGAACCTTTCAGCCCAGTCCGACTTTTGCGGAAAGACGGACTGGACTGGACTATCGTAAGCACTGGTAATCTTTTTTGTGGAATTGTGCGGAATTATGCAGAATTATGCAGAATTATGCAGAATTAGATGGGGTTGGGTGGAATTGGCCCTTGGGTAGAATTGGATGGGATGGGA